CGCGGATAAATTATGATAATTAAAAAAAAAAAAAAAAAATAGAGAAAAATGCAATGTGAAATGTTTGATATACGCGCGATACAAAAATATTAAATATTTATCAAAGCTGTTATTACAGAATTATATTTTCTTTTCTTCGTGTTCAAAAACTAACCTCACAATAACGATTACGATGATTTTGAAAAACTATTAAATTTATTAAAAATATAAAATTGTCAACAACAATCTTAAAAAAAATTTATTCTCACTAATAACGAATTAATCAGTAGAGAAATCGGACTCTATTATGGATTTTCCGAAACGATTTCTCGGCTCTCTTGGAAACTCCTTGATCCATTTATTCAAATCGACTATTTTCGAGTATTCATCATCGGTCGAATCGTTGTCTGTGTACACTGTGGACTTTTGCCTTCTTTTTCTTGTTCTCGGTGTTTGCGGTTTGGCTCGAATTCTTCCGCTTCCTGATTCCACTGAATCGCTTATCACGCTCTGCCTTCTCGCTCTACGCGTTGCGTATACTCTGGAATTTCTTTGACTCGATGGTAAACTGGTCTCGTTGTTATCGACCGAGTTGTTCCTTTCCCTCCTGAGTCTCTCCTGCCGCCGCTCTTCCCTCCTCAATAAATCGTTCTCGCTTTGAATTCTCTTCGATCTCCTCCCTCTTCTCTGTTTGCTCCTAATGTTATCGACGGAACCCACGGAACATGTTCTCGCCGAAATATTGTCCAAATTATCCAAAGATTGAGTCAATCTCGGCATCTGTACCGCTTCTTCGTAACTGGGTGGTTCTATCAATTCGAGGGGATTGATTCTTGGTTCTGGTCGATGTTCAACGATTTCTTGTACCGTTGTAACTTGTGTTTGATTCCTGTCAAAAATGAGATTCTTTTGAATAATTTGTAGATTAGTTACCTATTGAGATAAGGCAGATTCATTCATCATATGTAGGTAATATAGGAATCTGTCTTAATAATATGATAATATAGGAATCTGGAATAAATCGATCTGTTACGTATGCACGTAACATTTTCGCATGAGAAAAACCGTGAAAAACCATTCTCAATAGAAATTATTTCTTACCTCGTTTGTCTCAATAAACTAAGGTTTTCCAATCGTCGTCTTTGTTCGATAGCCCTTCTCCTTATCTTCATCATGTGTCTAATGGACACGAAGCTACCGAATAGAACGGTGAGCGAGAGAATAACGATTATCGCGAATCCCCATGATCTGTTGTAATCAAGCGGTTTGTGCCATTCGTCGAAACAAGCGATCAGCCAACTATAACCGGACACGTTCGACGGACTTTGACAAATTAAAATTTGTTTAAAAATTTTCGGTGGTTCCGTTAAATAATTATACATAACGAACAATTTATCGCAATCGCAATGCCATGGATTATCCTCCAAATATATAATATCCAAATTTGGATTGTTTCGAAATATTTCTGGATCTGGCACCTCCGTCAATCGATTTCCTAAATATTTATATACACACACATACATATATAAACGTTAGAATTATTAAATTCGGTCGGAATTAAAATTGACAAATTGAAAAAAGAAAAAACAATTAACCTGACAGATCGATGCTTCTAAGCTGCGGCAATTGGAGAAAAGTGTCATTCGCCAATTCTACTATCCTGTTCGCCCTCAGATCGAAATTTCTCAACGTCGTCGATTTCAATCCGAACGGGATCTTTTGTATACGGTTATCGCTCAAATCGATGCTCTTCAGTCTCGGCATATTGACGAATAAATTCTCGTTCAAACGGTTGATCAGATTCGACGACGCGTCCAACGTTATCACGGCCGAGGTGAGCTTCGGTAACTCGTAGAAAGCGTTATAGGACAAATTCAACGTTTTCAACTCGATATTCTCGTGGAACGTGTACGGGTGAATTTTCTCCAGATTGTTGGCCGACAGATCCAACGTTTGAAGCTTCACCAGCCCCTCGAACGTGCCCGCGGTCAACGTTTCGAGCCTGTTCCCGCTCAAATACAGGAAACCCAGTTGCCTGTTCCTCGCGAATATACGATCGGGAAGTATTCGTATCGCGTTACGTGCCAATCGGGCGTGAGTCAACGAGGGGAATCCGTGGAGGCCCGGCCTGTCCAAATTGCACCTCGACGCGTCCAGCTTCCTCAATTTCGGATGCGTCAACGTCGAATTCCTGAAATTTAATAATCGTCATTCACTTCCATTCCATATTTCGAAAAAAAAGTATTCGAAATAATTTTACAATTTTTAATTAATCTTTTTTTATAATTTCTCAATTATTGGGTTCCTTGCCTCGTGCTGTAGACCAAAGTTGGATTGTTGGAAAGCAGAAGCTCGTCAAGCTCTGGAAATCCGTAGAGGGTATCGGGGCCCAAGTAGTTTAACTGGCAGTCGGACACGTCCAGCCACTTTAATTTCGGGCTCCACGTGTCGTGAATGGTTGTCAAAGGGTTTCCAACGAGGGTGAGCATAGTCAGTTGCGGCAGCCCGTCCAGGGACGAGTTGCTCAATACCCTTATTCCTTACACAGACAAGGGAATTTTGAGTTTTGAATTTTCAATGTTAGAAAAATTATTGTTATATTTTAAGGAGAGGGGAGGGAGAATATATACCGCATTGGCCTGCGTCCAGGGCCTCGAGGGTGCGGCTTATCAATCCGTCCAACTCCGACAACGGGTTCCTCGACAGGTAGAGGACCTTCAACGACGGCAACTGTCCCAACGATCTGATATCGGACGTCCCTTTTATAACGTTCCCGCTCAGATCCAATTCGCGCAAACTTTTCAACGAGCTTACGTTGTCCGGAAACGAGGTTATCTTGTTCCCAGCTAAATTCAAAATTTCCAACTCGACCAATCGGTTGATCTCGTCACCGGGGATGCTCGCCACCGCGTTCCCCGACAGATCCAATCTCGTTATCTGGATCAGATTTAATTAAATCAGATCAGGAAAATTTATTAATGCAACAATTTACACTCTCTAAATTTTCCTCGAAACAGAATACATAATACTCGATCGAATACTTTGCTCTTTTTCACGAGGATGATGACTCATTCTGCGTTTCTCAAATCGCGATAAAGAAATCGCGGCAAGAAATCTTCAATATATCGCTCGATAGAAGAAGAAAAAGAAAAAGAAATTTACTTGAGAAAAAAGAAAGAGGGATTTTAATTATTATTATCATACGAATATTGATCTTATTAATCTTTTAAAATTAATATATTTTTCTTTTTCTTTGGTTGGTGATATAATGAGAGAGAGAGAGAGAGAGAGAGAGAGAGAGAGAGAGCTCATACCAAGTCGCTCATGTTTCCGGGGAACGCGTCCAATCCTTGGCCCGCGCACATGACAGTTGTTGGAATTTGGTCGAGATGGCACAAACACGTTGCAGGGCAATTGTTTTGACACACCGCGATCGAGAGTATGGCTATTAGACACGTGGCGAACGGGGTGAGGTGAGGAGGCGACATTATAGTCCGATCTTTCTCTCGTCGAACGCGATTTCCATGGAAATTTTCGGAGAAGAGTCGAGGCTCGAACTCGCGTTCAAACGCGTCACGACGAAACGGATGGTAATAAAGGATTCTCGTCCGTCGAGGGTCGATCGTTCATTTTCTTTTTTTCTTCATTCGCCTCCAATCCTCCCCTCTCTCTCTCTCTCTCTCTCTTTTCTTCTCTTTTCTTTTCTTCTTTTTCAGGAAGAAAGATGGACGGTCGCGGAAACGGGGCCAACAACAGCGCACGGAACTGCCCTGGAAACTACTGACTTAACTTATCTTTGATAAGTAACGCTGCGCGATATCTGTCCGAGAGATAAGTCGCACGGCGTGCGCTATTCGAGAGCATTATTCCCGGTGATAATGAGAAAAAATCGGAGGGGGAGTGGTGTTGTCGATAAACGAGACACGCGTATTTCTCGAGGAAAATTCTCGAGGATACGAGG